CGTACGCCTTTTCCCTTCGCGGCCCTTCGCCGGTTTCATCCCCCGTACGACCCCGTACGCTGCTCGCATTCGAGGATCTTTCATCCCTCTTCACCGGCGTTTGTTCCGCGAGCTTGCACAATTGTACGCGCCACTCCTGACCCCATATGTTCGGCCTGTTGCGCGCCGATAGACGATCCTTGCCCCGCTTTCTCCTCGACGAGGGTCGCGGGGGTTCTCCAAGCGGACGATACACGCGTGGAATGTACGCTGGCACTTTTAGAAGTCGATTCGCTGTTCCGCTGTGTGGAACACTCGGTTCATACGGGTTTCGCAAGGCGATCGTACGGTTAGCGATACAGGATATCGAGCACGGGGCTCGGTGAGTTGTTCGGAAGACAACGAAAGTCTTTCACCCTTTTCAAAGAGGGTAGATTCTTTAGTGGTCTCTCGCCTGTTTTCCTTGACAGCTCGATTGAAAGCCCGACGAATGGTTCCAGTTGTGTCGACGCTCCTTCGGAATCGTTCGAGAGACATTCGATAGGCCGCAGATCCGAAGCGATCGGTTTTTCCACGCGAAGGTCCGCTCGCGACACGAAAAAGGAAGGCGTAGAAGGACTCGGCCGCGGACGGCCGAAAAGCGAACGCTCGCTCGCTCGCTCGCGGCAATCAAAATGCCGCGTGGCCAGCGACGGTTAGTTATCACGCGGCGGGCGGTTGCTTAACAAATGATCATTGTGCTCATTGTCGGCACGATTGACTAACCTTTTCCATAAAGGTAGCGCGAATGGCGTCACACGACGGCCGGTCCTTTTTTGGCCCGGCGAGTCGGTAAACCGTAGGGAACCCGGCTCGCTTTTGCGCACGCTGGATTCGAATGGATTCGAACGGGCTCGCTCGCTCTCCTCTGCCTCCCTCTAATTTATGCAAGCGAGCCGCCCGGCTCGTGTGGCCGTCGTCGCGTCGCGGCGTGCACGCGCGCCGCGACATACGTGACACGAACCGGCGAGCGAACCTCGCCGATCGAGCATCCTCGAGAGCCGCGCTCCGGCCCCGAACCACCGCGAATATTCGGTTACCGCCGTCGACCGGTTGTTCGGCATTCAGCCGACGTCCGGTTTCGAAAGGCCGGCTCACGGAAGTCGAGGATGTGGCTTCCACGCGGCCACGGAAATCGGGAATCGGGACAGCCTCCGTCGAGAGCGCTCTTTCGGGAATCTCTTGGATCTTAATCTTACGCGATCCACGGAACTGACGTTCTTCGTTTCCGGTTTCGATGGGACAACGCTGTGCGATTTCTAACTTTTTAGCTACGGTGGGATTTGAACTGTTAGGGAATGTTCAGAAACGTGAAATGAGAGAAATGACGAAGACAGTCGAGTGATACGTTGAACATATAACTAGAAGGTTAATGAGTTACGATGATATTAGCGTATGTTTCGCGTGTATCGAGAAAAGCATCGGTTCATTCACAGTTTCTCGTAAAAATTGGATGAATAACATATTACTCGAAATACAGCGGGAAAGCCACGGTCAGCGAGGAGAGTATTTCGTGTCCGACCGTGGTCGCGGCGGCGTTAACTCGTGCTCGTTATCAAGCGGTCGAAACGCGATGGAAATCGGAACGAACGGGTCGACGCAACCGTGAGTAGCGTCCGCGATTAATCTCTCCATCCCCAGTTCCGTAACCAAGTTTCGCGGTTGTGAAAATATTCCGGTGAGAATCGGGTCGGCGGTGGTGTTCACCGGAGACTCCGCGGGTCGGAAAAGTTGGAGAGCGCACGCGAGCCCGAGCCGAGCGTGTGCGGCACGGGAGCAACGTAACGCATCGGTTCCGAGAGGAGGAGGTCGAAAGCGAGGATAAGCGAGAGTCGAACCAGAGACCTCGAAGAGCCGCGATACATAACGTAACAGTGCTCCGGCAAGCAGAAATAATGAGTCCATTATACGGTCGCCTGTGTTGGTCGGTCGTCTTGCAACGACACGTTCTGCGCGCACGCGCGCGCGCGCGAGTCCTGATACAGTTCGCCGAGTCTTATGCAAAAGTCGCCCCGGCCGACGCCGATCGTTCCGCGCGGGAATTCGAGACTCGGAGATACGGACGCTCGAGACGAGACGAAAGGAACACGCGCCGAATATCTTCTGTCCGCTCGGTTAGACCGCGACGCCGCGTTACGCAACGGGCCCCTGGTACCGGAGGAAAGTGAAATTACGCTAATGGAACATACCGAATTTTACAATCCATTGTGCGAGAAGAAATTGGTACGAGCCAGCGGAGATCCTAACCGTAAAACGGTATAATCCGACGAGCGGCTTTCATTCGCCGAGGATTAATCCCGAAAGGAATCCGGCTTCTCCTGAGGAAACGACAAATCTCGGAGTGGAATATTCAGACGCTTTCGGAGAATTCTCGCGGAGGCGTGGACGTCCACCGAAACGATCGAGACGATTGGTCGGCCGGGTATATCTCGATCGCGACGAGGATCGGGACCGAGCGTGTTTTTTCTCGGGCCGAACGCGAGGATGCCGCGGGAAGCACCGGAGCCCGGCGTCGTCTCCATTGTCCGCGGCGAAGCGTGCAGAGGGCCCGACTTTCCCTCGTTCACCCACGGTCACTGCTGCAATGACGTAAGGCTTCTGCTAGGTAATTGTTACCTTACGCTACGGACGCCCGCCTCATAATGTTCTCCGCTGTTTCGTTCCGTTCTATCCGGACGGTCCCGTTTTTGGGGGACCCGAACGTGTCGGACCGCGAGCCCAGCGTGGGAGAGACTCGATTCGGGATTCGGAGGAACGGGATCGCGACGGAGGTTTCCAAAGAGATCGCGCGACCTAGCCGTATCCGCGCGTTCTCCCACAGGGCGGCGTTAACGCCGCGGCGATAAGTATCGGGAAGCGAGGAAAAATCCAGGACAACAAATTGCTCCGCCGGATGAATGGGATGATCCACTCCCAGCGTGGCCCGCGGTTTCCATTGTTCGCCGCTGGAACGCCGGCCGGAGAGTCCTTCGGCTGAATGAGTTGCGTCACGAGAGTTCAGCGATGAAAACGCCGCGGAATAAGGTGAACAAGGTGAATCACGCCGGGCACGCATATCGCAACCGGAGGCCCAGGCCAGCCAGCCGGCTAACCAGCCACCCCCGCGCCGACCAGCCGGCTGGAGGACGCCCGATTTCTAGACGTTGCCCGGGGAACAGTGAAATCGCGGATTGTCGTTGCCCGATGACGACGGAACGGTTAAGCGAGAGAGGCGAGCCAGCGACGATAATGAGAGACCTGTGGCAACACGTGCAAACGCGCCGAGCCGAGAGATCCTATCGACCGAGCCTGACGTAACAATGAGAAACTCCTCCGACGCGAGTCGCAACGCTTTCGTTCGCGGCTGCAATCGGGGGAAATAAATAAACCGGCTTGTCGCGCGGTTTCGCGGCTCCAACCGAGACCCTCCGACTCTCGGTCAGCGTTTCCCAACCGGGACGTTCCCTCCGTCTTTCCCTCGTCCCGGCCGAATCCGCTGGAAAATCGATTTTCCCTCTGCGATACCTTCTTCGAGGAAGCCTCGGGATCTTTCGTTTATGCTGCTCGGAGACCGCTTCGATCAACGAAGCCTTCGATTGTCTTTAAGGTCCGATACACGCTATCGGTCCGATGGAATGCTCTTCGGTTGTTTAGATGTGTTCGATCGGGAAAGGAGAGAATTTCGAGTGGACCGATAGCTCGCATCGGGTCCGAGCGAGTTGGGAAACGCTGCACGGTACGTCGAGATCGTGTGGCAGAAGAAGATATCTACCTGTCGGCCGTGTGCATTTATCCCCAGCCGACACCGGACAGGAGGTGTTCGATCCGGCGTTCAATCGATGCTATATTGTCAAGGGCTGTTTCGCGAACGGCCGACGGACACTCGCCGCGCCGCAACGGATTTATATCCCCGCGAGGAGACGAGTGTGGGACCTGGGTCCCGGGGACGCGTAGATCGTTCAACTTCGAGGGCTGCGTCGGACAAACTCCGGTTCGCTTGGCAGGATCGATATCCTTCGAGCCGACGTTTCTCTTTGAATCTCGTCGGGAAGAGGAACGTTCCCATCGTGAATTGCGAGGCGGGACGGGGGGATGGGAACCGAACGCGGACGGCGGGATAGTGAAAAGAGACACTTACCATCGTTATGATACTGTCTCGAGGGTAGAGAAACTGCGGTGGAGGACGGTTGCAACGTGGACGACGGTGGTTGCGGTTGAGTCCCGGTTCTCGGGCCCGAGGCGCTCGGGGCGGCGGAACTCGCGGGCGTAGCTGGGCCCTTGTGCTTCGGCGTAGCCGCCACCTGATGGGCCGCGCCCTGGTACCCCAGGAAATCGCCTAAATCTGGCACGCACACGCTTTCGTGCGCGCTGCCCGGCAGGTTCTCCAGAGAGGCCTTCGCCGCGTCGACATCTGAATGGAAAATGGAACAGAGCCTCAGTCGCTTTGCTTCCGATCGAATCGACGGCGAGGCGAGGAAGAAAGAAAGAGCCCTGACCAATGCTCGAGACGCTCGAGAGCGAACATCGAGGTTCGAGAGTGTCGAAGGGAACGTCGAGGAAGATGTCGGGCTCGTCGCCGACCGGTGACGCGGTTGTTTGCGCGACAGGGAGGAATAATTAACGCCCGCGCGACGCGAGGCACCGCGGTTATAGAATTCCAGCGTCATTAAGCCGCGTTTTTGCCGCAACAATGGCAGCGGCACCGTGGCCGCAATCGCGATCAACGATCTAGCCTAGGTGCTCCATTATTCCCGCCATTATTGCGAAGGAGACGATTGCCATTCGCGTGATTCATCGGCAACGACCGCTCCTGCGTTTGTTGCGCGGAGATGCGCCTCGAACGCGAAAACCGGCGCCGATCCATCGCGAAATCCGATTCGTTTCCTCCGCCCGACGTTGGACGTTAATTATCGGCTCGTCGCGGCGCGAACGATAGGACGGACTCGTCGGGACAGCGGAGGACAGCGGAAGGACGGGATTGCGAGGCGATCCGTCGATGCCGACG